AACCCAATTAATTGAAAAAAGGTTGTGATGATGATGATGCAATAATTTCAGGAAGCGGTGGATTAAGAAGTGGCCACTTCATGATACTATACCACTTCTCATGTTTGAAAATAGATAGTTATGGGAAGTGCAACACTATAGTTATGGGAAGTGCAACACTAGTTTGGAAGCTGGAGCATCCGGCAGCCTCCAAAATCACGTTAAAAATGGGGGTGACAGCGGGTCCTGTCAGGCCGGACCCGGACCCGGACCCGAAAGAGTGATATGAGATCCGAATTCATTGTACCCGGAGCCGACCCAAAATTAAAAATATGTATGTACTTAGCTAAATTTAAATATATCTCATATATTTGGACCTGAAAAACATTATGGGAGCCGGACCCATTGCATGCTGACCTTTGATTAATGCTCATATATGAAGGAGAGGACAATTGATTCGGTCATACGGCGAGATAGAGAGAGAATGGAGATCTACCAAAGCAAATCTAGGCCTGCGCTTACCCTTCTTTACCCATTGTTGCATCTTGAACGTTTAAATCAATGTAAAGAAGATAGCAGAGAGAGGATATATATATATATATATATATAGACCTAAGCCTTCTCCACAACTCCTTCCTTCTCTTGGGAGCCTCCAACGATCTTTTCCGCCTTCTTCTCCTCCGGGACCTCGAATGCCGACACCGGGAAGCTCCTGGAGAGACCAGCCGGCGTCTTAAACGTGAACTTTCCGGTGGGAGGATCATCCACATAAATCTCACTCAGCGTAATCCACAACATCAACTCCTTCACCTTCACCCCTGTGACCTTCTTCATCTTAAACTTCTCGACATATGCAGTCACCTCAGGAGCATAGGAAACAAGCTTCCCAACCTTATCAAAATGGTGCTGCTTACTCTTCTTCTGCTTAAGCCACACAAAACCAGTCTCCTCTATGTACCCACATTCAAACACATCCTCTAAAGGTAGGAGGCAATTGGGCATGCCCACTTCTCTGAGGAGTTCTAGGGACTTGGCCTGGCAAATTTCATCGCCATGAAAGATTTGGGCCTTTTCTTTGAGTTCTTTAGAAAGCAGAGAAGACATGGTGGAGATTAGGGGTTTTCAGGGTGAATTTTGGGAGGGTGAGGGGTGGACTATTTGTAGAGGGCAGGGGGCATGGGGTAATAAATAAGGGGGGTTGGAGTTGGGGTTCGAGTAGGGGAGGTGGGCCTAACAGTGCCTAACATTGTATGATTTGGAGTGGAAGTTAGAGAGAAAAGGTATATGGGGGTAGCTGTCGGGACAGTGATGAGGTTTTATTAATGGGGGCTTGTTTTGGTTAGGGAACATTGGCTGCTTAGCGTTGTAGGAAAAATTGAATCGGAAAGGTTAATCGGACATAGTTCCTGAAGCTGTTTTAATTGAACAAGTCCTAGGCGTTCAATAAATATTAAAAAATTTTCTAATGAAATATGAAGAGTATATTTAAAGAATGATTAAAAAAATTATTTAAATAAAGTTTAAAATTAATGAAAAAATTGATTGAAGTTGAAAATTAATGAAAGTTTTAATTTTAAAGAATCATATTGTGCGTATGGGTATTTTTAAATTTTTTTTTAAAAAAGATGAAAAAAATGTAAAAATGAATATTAATGACGAAAACAATTTTCAATCTCTTTGATGAAAACATTAAAAATACATCACAAATAAAATTTATTATTTTTTAAGATTTTATATATTTTTTTAATTTTTTTTTAAAAATACTAAGATAGTCACCAAAACGGCCACGGGTTCTGAAACCGACCTGATTTTTTCTTGAATGCGAAGTAGCGTTTGGACAGTCGGAGAGAATTTAGAGGGAGTTTACGGTTTACTATTTGAGTAGAGAGCTAGAGAGAGAAGGGATTTTATATATTATTGTTTGTTTGGAGAGAGAGTGTTACGTTCCCTTTACTATATGTTAGCAGAGTGCCTGAGGAAGAAAGTGGTAGTTTTAGAATGTGAATTTAAGCGGAGATGTATAAAAGTTTTTACATGTAAATGGCATTACTTCTTGGCGTTTGTGAGCGAGGAGACGCAGAGTCCTACCAAGAAAAAAGTGGGAAACCTACTTTTGGGAGAGAGATTTTCTGAGTGAATTTGGTAAGAGAGAGAGATTGAGATTTAAATTTATAGAGAGAGAGAGAGACTTTGGTTGTTTTAGACTAAATTCAGATACAAGGGAGGGGAGGGG